GCTTAAGGCCCGAGCGGATGGGGGGCATCCGCCGGAGGGGGCTTAAGGCCCGAGCAGAAGGGGGGCATCCGCCGGAGGGGGCTTAAGGCCCGAGCGGAAAGGGGGCATCCGCCAGAGGGGGTTTAAGGCACAGAGGTGGCTGAACAGGAGGGGTGGGAGGCGGTTGAGCAGGCGGTGCAATGAGGGGGGCTTAAGCCTGGTCGTCCCAGAGGGCAGGGGAGGCTGCTGGATGTAAGCTCGAAGCCCTGCGTGAGCATTGCAGCCTGACTGCCTGACTGACTGTGGCTGGATGACATCTTAAACCTACCATCATCCTCTGTGATGTCAGCTGTTAAGCTTAATAGCAGCAGCAGCAGCAATCTGCCTGCCTGCCTGCCTGCCTCCCAGGCGGCCCTGCTGCCTCCCTGCCTGCTCCCCTGCCTCCCAGCATCGGTGGGACCGAAGGCCAGCCCCCTGGCGGCCGTCTGCGTGGCCCAAAACAGAGAAGGGTCTTCGGGGGACGTGACCGCGAAATCCCTGGAAACGCTTTCCGGGTGAAAAGGCAGCCGCGAACCCTGCGACCCTGGTATATACGCCACTGCGGGCATCCGTAATGGGATGGACCGATAGACACATGGAACTGTGGAGACTCTGGATCGATTATACTACCAGAGGAGGGGTGAAGCCCAGTGAGGGTTGAGAGGTAGATGGGTGAGGGGGGCGCACGTGACATTCTGGTATTCACCTTTGATCCCCACTTGTCTTCCCAGCTTTTCTTCTCTATAACTCGACTTCAACTCTTTACAAACGAATTGCACAATACGTGCGCTCAGACCAACTGTGCTTTGCAGTCACTTCCCCCCTCTCCGATAATAAGGTTACAAGAGATCTAGCTTTGCGGGATGCTTTACAGAATCTAGGCAAATTTAGCTCAGTTCTAATTGCAAGAGCCGAGACACATTATCATGAGAACTTAATATGGTAAATTATTGCTATGTTACAGTTCAGTTATATCTGGAAGGTAGATGCCAGTTATGTGACTTGGGCTTCTACATGATCTATTTATATGTGATCTGTTTCATAACGTCTTTGACCAGACAAGGAAAAAAAAGAAAAGGGAGGGGAGAGGGAAAACTGATAAGGTGGAGTGGGAGAGATGGGGGGAGGAGGGGAAGAAGCGGTTTACCACCTCAAGACCGATAGCTTACCCTGAAGGCTATGCTCAATGTGTGAAGGTATCATACAGATATGTACTGATATGTTATATGATTACTCTTAACTTCACACCTGCATGTATTATTTCTTACTCTACTTTACAGTTGGAGATCTGCATATCTCGATTTATTGATTGTTATCTCTAATAACTGAAACCAGCGTGTTTTTTCTTTTTGTACTCAACACTTGCCTTTTCTTTAGAAAAAGGAAAGTTGAAATTTTTTTTTATATTTAAAACATTTTTTTAAATAAAATATTTTTTTTAAAAATGTGTGTGGGGGTTTTGAAAAAACCCCTCTCCGTCTCATTGAAGATTTTCACTTTTAGCTTAAAGTAGCAATGTGAATTGTTAGTGTAAGACTCACTTAAGAGGTTTTGTCTTGAAGTGGCAGGTGAGCTTACACTTTAACGGCCAATGGAGTGATATTAAAAATCTCCAGTTATTTAAATGTGCATAAAAATTTGACATAGTAGATATAGGCCAGTAAGCCTTACTTTAGTAGTGGGGAAAGTGATGGAAACCATGTTAAAGGGACACTATAGTCACCTGAACAACTTTAGCTTAATGAAGCAGTTTTGGTGTATAGAACATGCCCCTGCAGCCTCACTGCTCAATCCTCTGCCATTTAAGAGCTAAATCCCTTTGTTTATGAACCCTAGTCACACCTCCCTGCATGTGACTTGCACAGCCTTCCATAAACACCTCCTGTAAAGAGAGCCCTATTTAGGCTTTCTTTATTGCAAGTTCTGTTTAATTAAGATTTTCTTATCCCCTGCTATGTTAATAGCTTGCTAGACCCTGCAAGAGCCTCCTGTATGTGATTAAAGTTCAATTTAGAGATTGAGATACAATTATTTAAGGTACATTACATCTGTCTGAAAGTGAAACCAGTTTTTTTTCATGCAGGTTCTGTCAATCATAGCCAGGGGAGGTGTGGCTAGGGCTGCATAAACAGAAACAAAGTGATTTAACTCCTAAATGACAGTGAATTGAGCAGTGAAATTGCAGGGGAATGATCTATACACTAAAACTGCTTTATTTAGCTAAAGCAATTTAGGTGACTATAGTGTTCCTTTAAAGGATTGGATTGTTGAACATCTAAAAACACATGGATTTCAAGATCAGAGACACGATGGGTTTACTTCAGGGAGATCATGCCAAACTAATCTTATTGATTTTTTTGATTGGGTAACTAAAATTATAGATCAGGGTGGTGCAGTAGACATTGCTTACCTAGATTTCAGTAAGGCTTTTGACACTGTTGCACATAGAAGGCTTATCAATAAACTGCAATCTTTAAGTTTGGATTCCAATACTGTTGAATGGGTAAAGCAGTGGCTGAGTGACAGGCAACAGAGGGTTGTAGTTAATGGAATATATTCGAAGCTTGGACTTGTCACCAGTGGGGTACCTCAGGGATCTGTACTTGGACCCATTCTCTTTAATATTTTTATGAGTGATATTGCAGAAGGTCTTGATGGTAAGCAGGGCTGGACTGGCCCACCGGGATACCAGGAAAATTCCCGGTGGGCCGCGGCACCTGGGGCCGGTCTGACAGCCCTGATCAGCCCTGTCAGTCTCCCAGCAGAATTTACCTTAATTTTGGCCGCATGCCCCGCCTCCGCACACAAGCCCCGCCTCCTGGATATAGCCCCACCTCTCTCGTGCAAGCCCCACCCCCACACATTGCTCACCGGAAGGAACAGGCTACAAAAGGGAAACTTCACCTACCAGGTAAGCTTCAGCCATGACAGTGATTATGTGTGTGTGTGTGTCTGCTAGTGAGTAAGCTTGTGTGTGTGTCTGCTAGTGAGTGAGCTTGTCTGTGTGTGTGTGTGTCTGCTAGCGAGTGAGCTTGTCTGTGTGTGTGTGTGCCTGCGTGTGTGTGTGTGTGTAAATGAGCTTGTGTGTGTGTGTATGCCTGCTAGTGAGTGAGCTTGTCTGTGTGCAGGGCCGGTGCAAGGATTTCTGCCGTCCTAGGGAAAGATCCATTTTGCCGCCCCTTCATGTCACTCACTGACAGACACATACACACTGACACACAAGCACTCACTCGCTGACACAAACACACACAGAAGATCACCGACAGACACACACACACACACTCACTGACAGACATACATACAGACTCACTGACAGACATACACACAGACTCACTCACTGACACACGCTCACTCAATGACAGACAAACACACACACACACACTGTCAGGCATATACTCACTCACTGACAAACACACACAGACACTTACTGAGAGACACACACACACTCACTGACATACACTCACACACACTCACTGACAGATATACACTCACTCAGTCACTGACAGACGTATACTCACTCACTGACACACTCACTGACAGACATATACTCACTCACTGAGAGACAAACACACACTCAGACAGACACTCAGTGACAGACATGCACTCACTCACTGACAGACACACAGACACACACACACTCACTGACAAACACCTAAACACTCACCTCCCTAGGATCCAGTGTGGGGCAGCTCCTCACTCCTCCCGCCCGCCATTTAGAATGCCGGGGCCGGAATGATGTTATATTCCGGCTCACGGCATCACAGAGGGCGCATGAGGGAGGAGTGAGAGGCTGCAAGAACAGCCTCCCTCGCCGCCTTCTCCTTCCCCCCTCTCCTGCGGTCACCGGGATTTGATGGCAGAGCAGGCACCTGTCATCAAGGTAAGAAGGTACCTGCTCTGCCATACTGTGATAGGGCTCTTCTGGGCGACCCTACCTTCGGGTGCCTGGAGGAGCGGCCCGGTGCTGAGGGGGGGCGGCTCTAGAGCCGCACGCCCAGCGCTGCGGCCCAAGACAGGGTGAGCCCACCCGTCTGTGTGTGTGTGTGCCGGCTAGTGAGTGAGCTTGTCTGTGTGTGTGTGTCTGCTAGTGAGAGAGCTTGTGTCTGCCTGCTAGTGAAAGAGCTTGTGTGTGTGTGTGCACACCTGCTAGTGAGTGAGCTTGTCTGTGTGTGTCTGCTAGTGAGAGAGCTTGTGTGTGTGTTTGTGTGTGTACCTGCTAGTGAGAGCTTGTGTGTGTGTGTGTGTGTGTGCCTGCTAGTGAGTGAGCTTGTCTGTGTGTGTGCCTGCTAGTGAGTGAGCTTGTCTGTGTGTATGTGTCTGCTAGTGAGAGAGCTTGTGTGTGTGCCTGCTAGTGAGTGAGCTTGTGTGTGTGTGTGCATGTGCATTCTAGTGAGTGAGCTTGTGTGTGTGTGTGAGCTTGTCTGTAGTAAGCTTGTGCATGTCAGAGTTTGTCTGTACTACATTTGTGTGTGTGTATGCCAATAAGCTTGTCTGTGCATGTCAGTGAGATGTGTGTGTATGCCAA